TAATCCCATAAATGATTAAAGAACAGGACCAAATTCTTAGCAAGCTTTGTCACACTCATGATGATAATTGAATTTCTTCCCCCAAATCATTCTGATTCTCTGGGAAACAAGAAGGAAGGAAAAATATAAGTAAATAGATCCTCTCTCCCTGCTTTGGATCGGTCTTTTGATCTTGCTTGTGCATATCTAGTACGTAATGAATATGTATCACTGACTACTCTTTGTTTTATATTTTGTAAGTGGGGGTTTAGAAAAAAGCTATTTCTCCAGAGGTTTGAAGTTTTCTATGCTTTGCAGATGAGGATTTGCCTATTTGTGCTAATTCAACCAGATCATTTCCATTGATGTCTTGGGGATATTTTTAAAGCTCTCATGGCTGGTGATCTGTTAATTAGTGTTGCCACATTCACTGGGGACTGAGGTTCCATCATTGGGCTGGTTACATCATCAGAGGAACAACATCCTGTGTCCCTGGGGGACTGGGCCCATGGGTTATGAAAACAAAGGTTAACATAGCGTTCATCTTGCAGTCTGAGGTCCTTGAATCCATAAGGATTCAGAAATTCTTTCAAAATTGTATTTTTGTTGTTGTTGTTGGAGAGAGGATCATAGCTTCCACCGTACTTTCAAAAGCAGTTGCTGATACACAATGGTTTAGAGCCACTGATCTAGAGACTTCAGCACCTTTCGCTTCCCCGGGGAGGAAGTCAAACCCTGAGGAGGATGGGTCTTCCCCACGCAAGCAGGTTCGTGATGGTCCCCCAGCTTGTGCCCACGGCACCAGGGACAGCTTTGCCCTATAATACGATGTACTGGGATGAGACTCACATGCGCTGTTGTGCGAATGTCACATAAGTTCACCCTGTGATTCAGCAGGAACAATGAGCCTTGGACAGGTCTGTCTATTCCCCTGTGGTCCTCAAATGCAGCAACACCGTGCCTCCCCAGAAAAGATGAAATTGGGGGACGATAGGCCGAGCCCCAGCAGTGAGTCCCTTTGTGTGGATTCTTAGATGCTGGAGCCTAAATTAAAAAAAAGAAGAAGAAGAAGAAGAAAAAGAGCTCTTTGGATAATGGTCAGCTTTGAAGTCTTTTCTTCTACCTTCCTGAAAGAACTGTAACCCTGTGTTCCGTGCTTGGTGTTAATAACTATTTTCTACTTACAGCTGCTTTACACTTGGAAATAGCAGAGCCAAGGGGTTAAGAAGCACTGTTTTTGTGCATCCTTTCCGGGTTTGTCTATGAGTGGGAATGACAATAGACAGGAGATCTCCACAGAGCCTTTCCCGCCTCTGGGGTCACAGGATGCAAGCTCACCAGACCCTCTCTGCACCCTGAACATTTCCACGCCAAATATCTGGGATTTCGAGCTTCTAAATGTCACGGCAGTGATAGCTCTCACGCCCTTCTTGGGGAGCAAAGGAGCAGATCAACACTCCACCCCCCCACCCCAAGTCAACAGCGGGACCCTGGTTAAGAGGTCACCTCTGCAGGCAAAGACCTGGCTTGCCTCCTGAATCCATCTGGGACAGGCTGTGTGACCTGGGACCAGTTAACTCCACCTCTCAGCTCTTCAGGTTCTTTATTTGTTAGAGGGAATGATCTCTGCTTTGTGGGGCCTTTGGAAGGATTGAGGAAAAGTTGTTAGAACCACCGATTAGTTGATTCACTGACACCATTTTGCATTTCTGAACTGACATCGACTCTTCCATCTCTAAATGTCCTTCCTCTTTGCCAATCCTACTTCAAAAGTGCCCGAACCTTTTCCCTCTCAGCCAATCTCACAGGGTCTTGTCACTGTGGCCCACACCAGGCTTGGCGGTTGCCTCCGTGAGGTAGTCACCCTTTGCCCACAGCACTGGTTGTTCTGCTTCTTGGCACGCAGTGGTTGAACTCGCCTTGCTGGGGGAGGCAAGAAGATTCATTGCTCAGGAGGCATCCGTACTCTCTGTAGTGATTTATTTGAACGAATTTTCCTCATTGCAGACTCATTAGAGGCTGTTACCGAATGGTGGCTTATTTACCTTGAACAAGCACGTCAGGTGTTCACGCCCACCCCGCCATGTCCCCCTGGGGAAGGCGCTTTCACACTCTGGGACCCCGAGGCGGAGCGTGCAGCTTTACCTCCATTAACAACTCATTCTGCTTCTCGATCGTTTGCCGCTGGAATTCCCTAACGGTGTCCCCATCCCTGTTGCTCTCTGTGCATTATTTGCAGGAGATTCAGAGTCCGATCCTTTTGTGACCCTGACAAAAATAAGCGCCTGCTTCAGAGATTGTCAGAGAGTGTACATTTCTGCCTTTGGATTTAAAGAAATTATTCATGTCTTCCCTGTCTGTTCTCTCTTAAATTGTAAAATCCCAAAGGGACGAGTTGCCTCACCCCCACCGCCCCATCAACGCCCATTGGAGGGCTGGGTCAGGTGTATGTACTCAAAGGAAGCCCAGTGAATTGGTGGTATTTTCGGACTAGTCCAGGAGGAAGGCGAGTGCCCCGCCTCCCAGCCCCCACCACCATGTGGCTTAGTTCCTGGACAGCACTCGGGCCTGCTTTGCTTGCATCTTCAGTGTTCATGGACTTGAGGTCCCAGATGTTTACTCAGTTTTCTGCCCAGCCTCTGCAGCCTGAGTCGTCAAGTATTGTCAGCTTAAAAGTTGACACCCTCTGGGTGTTGAGAAACAGGTGTGCATACACGCACAAAGGCTGTGTGATCTGTGAGGTACCAAGTGACAGTCCTGTGCTGGTGTGTGTGTGTACATCATCACACACATGAACACACACATGATGTGGAGACCACGCAGTGAGTGTGTTTAGCTGCACCTCGTGCAGACAGCATCTGGGACGTGTCGCTTTCCAGCAGAGACAGCAGCAGTCCCCGGAGACCGGTTATGTGTGCTGTGGCCGCTGACGCTTGGGGGCTGGTATTCCTGCATTTTGGAGGATCCACAGAAGGCCTCTTCTCCCTCCGGAGCCTGAGATTCGGCTGTTATGAGAGAGAACAGGTCAGGGCCTGGGGAAGCCTGAGTCGGCCTGCCTTTGGCACTTGCTTCCTCCTCAAGCTGACCTGCTTGATTTGAGTGAACAAACACAACATGATTTTCAAACGAAGTGTTTTGGCTTTGTTTTTAATTTTTATTTTGTTCCTGTTTTGGAAGTAGAAAGCAGTGTTCACTTAGGCGGCTTCATCCGAAAAGGGCATCAAAGACCCGACCAAGTTTATGTAGCGAGATTCTGGTCTTTAAGTGAAGCCCCTGAGAGGGTGAGATGAACGACCCCACCTTGCTTTACACCAAAGAAGTAGGGAGAGGCGCCGCCAGAGGCCCACGGTCATGGCCAAAGGGGTCCTTATGGTTGCCCGTTGTCTCTTAATTTGACTTTGGGAAACATTTCCTGCAACTTTCAACTTAGAGATGAGATTTCCTTTGCTTATGGAAAATTCACAGAGAAGGGAAGCAGAACCACTACAAAGAGTCCCTCCTACCCTTCAAGTTGATGACCACCGACCTCAGCGAGCGATGGCCCCCGGCACAGCCGAGTATCCTTCAAGCTTCTGCTGTTTCCTGAAGCCAGAGAAGCCACACTGTTTACTGTACAAACCAGGACGCTTTGAGCGTGAAAGGGGACACTCCTAGTCCCCCCGGGATGCATAAGCGAGCCCATCCTGGGAGGTATGGTCACCCTGCTCATGATGAGGAGCCTACAAACACGTTCGGGTGTCCTGTCCATGACCTCTGGGTTATGACTTGCAGGTCCTTGTGTTCACTCATGGTAGAGAGACTCTCCTTTGCATTCCTGCACTCACATGTCTGCGATTTGCTCAAGACTCTGCTCCTTTGGGACGCCGCTCCCACAGACGCATCCCATACTGCGCACCACCACAGTCTGGGCGCTCTGCCGCAGACCCGGGCCATTTCCCTCTGTTAGGAATGCGCACATCTGACCCAGGAGACCATGGGTAGTTGGCATCGCCTCTTGGCCTATGAAATGACACCCTTCAAATATATCCCCCAAGAGGAAGGTTTGAAAGGAAGGTTAGCTGGTTAGCTCATGAAATCCAGTGGCTGGGTACCATAGTCAGCCCATGGGCGCCAGAATGTCCTGCAGCACTCAGGCTGCCATTTGTCTATCTGTCTGTCTGTGTGTGTGTCCATCTGGCCGGCTGGCCTGCTGCTCCATTTCCCGTCTCTGCGTACCTGTGTGCATCTGCTTCCTTCTATCATCTGTCAAGTTGCTTCCTTGTTCCCTTCCTGCGTGGGATGTCAGGCTGCCCGTACATGACCTTTTGGATTGAGAATCCGCACTTGAATCACAGGGCCTGTCCCAACTCCAGTCCCCTCCCCCAGTCCCCTGGGAAGGAATCTGATTGGCTGGGCCTGGCATGTGGGTGGGTTCCCATAAGGCAGCGTGACCAGGAGAGCAGGGTCACCTACGGTGTCATGCCATAGGGAGAGAGAGAACACGTGACAGCCACCACGGTCCACACCTGCGCACTTAGCAGCAAAGCCCTTGCCTGGAGCCTCTCATTTAATCCTCGCATACCCCTGTGGGATAGGTACCATTATTATCCCATTCTGTGACTCAGAAACCTAGGGCACAGAGAGTGTAAACAGCTCGTTTAATGCCATGCAGCTCATAAGTGGACGAGTCCGCAGTGAGCCTGGCAGCCTGGCTCCCGAATCTGAGCTCCTAATCACCGCTCAATATTGTTTCTCCCTAATAAGCATTGCTAGGGCACCCCCAGTTTCATCTTTTTTATCCCTTCCCGGCCCTGTACATTGGGCACTGAGTGTCTGCTCAGTGAGTGTTTGCCGAACAAGTGAGCGAGTAAGCGAAGGGAGGGAGGGAGGAAGAAAGAAACAGAAGAACACGGGGTCCATTAGGAAGTTAGGGAGGAGACCCTTTCCCAGGGTGGAAAACATCCCCCTGCTGCTGCTTACCCAAGCACCAGTGTGCACATTTTCAAAGTACTGTCTCTCCCTGTCCCTCTGTCTTTGCTCAGACAAAAGCGAGAACGGCGAGGCCTATCAGAGGAAGAAGGCGGTGGCCACCGGGCTTGCCGAGGGCCCTGCCGCCCCGGTGCCTCCTCGAGGGAACCCGGCGCAGCCTGGAAGCAGCAGCTGGAGGAGGATCACCCTGCTCATCTTGGCCATCACCATCCACAACATTCCAGGTGAGGTCCTGCCGCAACATGGTCCGGCTACCGGCCCAAAGGGAAAGTTGCTGTCAGCTCAGCTGTCTGGCCAGAAGAGGGGCGCCGACAGTCGTGATGTGGGTCCTCTTGTTGAGGGGCACGGGGACAGAATGCAAATCTTCCTTGACTTTATTTTTAACTTGCATTATCACTACGGGGTGCAGCTTGTATAAGCGCGGGATGTCTCTGGTTCTGCGTAACGCCCTTTTAAAATACTGAGTTCTGTACAGTTCAGCACTGGTGGTCACCTGACCTGCCTCCTTCCTGTGGGACACCGCTCTTGAAATGCCCTTGCCAGTTCTATCCTTTTTAGCATGCTGCAGTAATTTGCTTTGCGTCTCTGGATTTGTTTTAATTGAACAAAATGTGTTGGCATTCTATTTCAAAAATAATATTATGCTTCATTTAGAGTGACAAGAAAACACAGATACGCATAAAAAAGAATAAAGATATTCTTAAAAAAATAAATTGAGGGAACCTGAGGAACTCCTTGGGTCACATCGTGGAATTCCAGCTCAGCCACTTACTTGCTCGTGTATCTGGACACGTTACCCGAGCTCTCTGAGCCTTGGTTTTCTCGTCTGTGAAACGGGCACAAAGCTACTACTGAGAGAAGCGGGATATCATTTGCAAAATGAATTACATTTATTTCGATACTTAAATGAGATGCTGTAGCACGCGTGCGCACACCCATACACAGATTTTGGTGCAGTACTTGGGCCACATGAGCACTTGGAAAATGGTAACAGTAATTAGCATTAATAATAATCCTGTTCTCCCTTCCGGCTGTGACTTCCTCAGGCTTGAGTTCTTCAACGTTCTGATCCATCACTGGTTGTGCTGGAACTCAAGTTCTAGGAATAACCTCACTGAGGGAGTGTCCCCGGGTGATACAGATATTATCTGAGCCCTTTGCACCGTTCATAATGCCAAACCCATCACCCCGTTATGGGGCAGTGACTAGAGGCACGTTCTTCTCTTCGAAGCTCTTGTAGATGTTGCTCCATGACCCTCTGGCTTCAATATTGGGGGGTCTAAGGCCATGGCCAAAGGGGGAACTTATTCCCCTCTGGGTAACTCAATATCCTTCTGCTTGTACAATGAGTACTTTTTTTTTTTTTTTGGTCATTTTTAAAGAATGAAAATTTTGATATGTTATATATTCCAGTACATACTAAACCTGTCTAGAACACTGTGTTTCCAATTGCTTTTTTAAGAAGATTTTGTCCATTTAGTTATTTTAGAGAGAGAGTGCGTGAGCAGGGGGAGGGGCAGATGGAGAGGGACAAGCAGACTCTGCGCTGAGGACACAGCCTGATGTGGGGCTCGATCCCAGGACCCCAAGATCATGACCTGAGCCAGCTGCACAACCAACTGAGCCACCCAGGCCCTCCGTTTCCAACCAATAAAGCTCAGGTCTTCCCCTAGATGAGAAGCACAGCCCTTATTATTTGTATCCTGGTCTTATGAATTTCTATCATGTGATTGTATAGACTGGTTTGCCCCCCAGTTTTTCTTCAGCATGTTTCTCTCATTTCCCTGTTGGCTCTCCCCCTTTGGGTCATGGACAGACTCTCTGGTTTTTCTAAAGCTTTCTATTCAGTATTCCTTGAGACAGAGTCTTATGGGGGACCCCAACGCACAAAGCTAACCACAGCAGGTTTGTGCTGGTGGAAGGGTCTGGCCACATTCACCCCCAGACTCTTAGCAAGCTCACTGGAAGACCTAGGGCTTGGCAGAGGACAGCTTGAAAAACATCCACAGTCGCCTTCAACCTGTTAAGTCCTACTCAGTAGAGAAAAAAGGTGCTTAACCTGTCTTTTCAGTCATAATAGTAGTGATCTTTCTGCCCCTCAAGGTTTCTCTAACTAGTTGAAAATGAATAAAGAAAAAAAAATGAATAAAGATCTGTCCATTGGGTTTACAGTCACATAAGATAACTATACTGGCTTGAGGTATCCTGTTGTGATTCTGTCTCCCTGAAGAATACAAAAGTGTTCTAAAATCCAGATTTCATAGCACGGGGCTTTGAGAAGCCAGGAATAAACTTTCCTCTGATGAAGCCCTTCCTATCTCCCACCTGCCTCTGCCCTTCTGTGTTCCCATGGACTCAACTGGGACTGTGTCCTCGCTCATTTTGACAGAAGGTTAGGGAGAGTCAGAGTTCACATCTTTAAATGTTTATTGACTTCAGTGAGAGCTTGAATTAAGGCCGGAAACAAAAGCGCGTTAGCCGGAAGGTGCATGGGGTGACACCAACATTTGATGATCCGCAATCAGCACGAATTCAAAGGTTGCTTCTTCCCTGACAATAGACCTTCTTCTGGATCCTTGGCATTCCCAAGTTCATGTTCAACCTGTGTCCCTATTATGGTGAATGTGGAAGTGTCTTTTGAAATGAGGGTTGAGTGGCTCGTAGGAACCTCAGCTGATTTGGCTTCATCAGAAGCCCAGTGTAACGGTCCATGACCTGGGGAGCATCTAGCTTGCTGGATCGAGAAGTTTGAGGGTAAATTTCTTCCCCAGTCTTGCCTTTTATTAATTGCATTTTAGTAATGAATTCTAGGTACTTGAGTTATGTCAGTCATAAAACAGACCAAGATCCCTAGCCTCCCGTAACTAACATTATAGCAGGGGGATAGACAATGAACATAAGAGTAGTAAGTGGATTATGTGTTATGTTTGAAGGCGGTTGGGGCTATAAAGAATGGACAAGTCCAGCAGGGCTGACAAGATGCTAAGGTGTTACAGAAAGGAGGTGCAATTTTAAATAGAGTGGTCAGGGTGGGTCTCACTGAGACCTTGCATTTGAGTCAGACATGCGGCTCTCTGGGGCAGAGTGAGTGTTCCAGGCAGAGGTAGCGTCCAGTGCAAGGGCCCTGAGGCAGAGGCCCATCTGGACCCCCGAGGAGTAGCCAGGAGTCCAGCATGGAGTAGGAGTAGGGTCAGTGGGAGGGAGAGGCACAAAGTGAGGACAGAGAGGTCAGCCCTGCCCCAGGTGGAGCTCACAGGCATTGTAAGGATTTTCCTTTTTACTCTAGGAGGTGGGCCACCCCAGGGTTTTGAGCAGAGGCATATGACTTGAATTGTGCTTCCCAAGCTTCTCTCTAGGCACTGAATTCAGACTGGACGCAGGAGGGGCGAGGGCGGCTGTGGGGAGACCGGGCAGAGGCCACAGTAGGAATGTGAGCTGCAAACAGAGGTGGCTGAGACTAAGACAGGTGTGCCAGAGGCACTGACAAGGGCCCCCATCTTCACGTCCACTCAGGGTAGAGCCGGGGGGTTTGCTGATGCAGCAGACGGGGAGTGTGGACAAAGATGGGAGCCAGGAAGGACCCCGATGTTTCAGGGCTGACCGGCTGCAAGTACGGAGTCGCCACCAGCTGGGATGGGGAAAACCCCACGGGGGCAGGTTTTAGAAGGGCACATCAACAACTCGGCTTTGGATGGCGAGGTTTGGCTGTCGGCAGACATTCAAGTGGAGACGCCGATCAGGTAGTTGCACGTACAAATTGGGAGACAGGAGCAGAGTCTGGGCAGCAGAGAGAAGTTCGGACCGGGTCTGAATCGATGGCACGTAGGTGTCGTTGCAAGCCCTGGCACCGACGACATCACCAGGGTCTAACTGCAAGTAGAGGAGTCCCCCCCTGGGGCCCATCCCCGGAGCCTCGGGCTGCTAACTCCTGTCCAGCTTCCTGCCCTTTGATGGAAACCATACTGAGAGCTTCTCTGTCGCCAACTGACCTTTGAAAAGGTCTCTTTTTTAACGCTATCCTTTATACTTTATTAAAAATTTAACTAGAGCTTTGACATTCCCCGAGACTCTGGGCTTGAAGATAGACTTTTCACAATGACTAAAAGGATAATTGATTTTTTTTCAAGTTTTTTTTTCTTTGCTGGCTCAGTTTTATATGTCCTGGGGATGACATTTTGTTAATTTTTTTTTTTTTTTTAATGTGGAAGTAAAAAGGAGAAGCTTGTTAGCGAGTGTCCTATCCTCTGGAGGTTTCTGGCGTGTGAGGACACACACATAGGCACGCGCGCACACACACACACACACACCTGGGGCAATGGGTTAACATTTAATACACACATGCAAGGACGGATATGTTCTTAAACTCCTGTGGCTCACCGTCGTCCTTGAGAACCTGGGAAGAGCTGGGGATCCCCTCACACTCAGCTCACAGGCAGCTCTAGTTGTTCTAGGCCTCACGAAGACAGTCCACAGCCCTGGAGCAGGGAAGAAATCTCCGCTTTCCAGAAACAAAGGCACAGTCGTGCAAGCAGCTTGAATGTTTTAGGAGGAAACCGACATGGCTGATGTAGACCATCAGATGCAAGCCCCTCCGGCTCTTGTGGGAGACACAGAATCTCCGCAGGTGGAGATGCTGTTCCTCCGCATTCCACGTCGCTTCTCTGGCTTGGCCTGTGTGCATCGGCGGGTTGGGGCGCTCGAGTCCTTTGGAACATGGTATCCTGAGGAAAGGACGTGTTTTCTGCGAAAGCAACTCTGTGGCCTTTGGGGCATTGTCTCTTAAAGTGATTTCCGTGCAATATCATTCAGGCTCAAGGGCTCTGAGCCTTCCAGAGGTTCCCAGGCCTTCGGAAAACAAGCTCCCTCTCTGTGTCTGAGTGGAATTAAAAATCAGCTAGCAATCCAGTTCCTAATAATCTCTTTTCATGAGTGGCTTATGGTCTCCACAGTGCACTATAGCATTGCTTTGTATGCCGGAAAGTTAAATTGAGAGCTTAAAGGGATCTTCCAGAGGTTATCTCCTTCAACACTACTCCATTTGGTGGTTCAGGGCGTGTGTGTGCATGTGTGTGTGCGCACGCACGCACGTGTTAAATTACGGCTATGATTCCTTTCAGCCCTGGCACTGGATGAGTCTGTGAAAAATAATACAGACTGTACAATATTCTTTTCATGTATTTTACAGTGTTAATCATTCCTTCCTTTGTGATGCTGTGCTGATCCT